AATTAGTCTCGTCGTTTATAAAAATGAAACTTCACATATGGCAAACATGAACCGCACAGAATATTTGCTTTACAACTACATACACATGTATATATTAAATTTACATGAATGTGAATGACCGATAAATTCATACAGAATAAAAAAAATTGCGCGTAGTCATGCGATATAAGGAATTTTTGTAACAAAATTCAAATTTTATTGGCGAAATGCAAGAGAATTTTTGGCCGGTCATGATAAATGCACACAGGTATGCATATATTACATTCGAGTGACGTTGTGAATGAAATTGTGGGAAAAACAGAATTTTTATCAAAATTAATAATATGAGAAAATTGCTAATGGAAATCGAAAACGAAAATTCATTTCAAAAATTGTCTAATTAAAATTTTACATTGAAAGCATTATAAATAATAACAAATAATAAATAACAAATAATAAATAATAAATAATAAATAATAAATAATAAATAATAAATAATAAATAATAAATAATAAATAATAAATTATAAATTATAATTTATAAATTATAAATTATAAATGATAAATAATAAATCATAAATAACAAAAAAATATAACAAAAAAATAATAATAAATAATAAATCAAAAATTATAAGTAGTAAAGAGTAATTAATAAATAATAAATAATAAGGTATTAATAATAAGTTGTAACACTTAAAACCACCATTTCCCTGATCGCTTTTGGTTCTTTTAATAAATCTGCTTATTTATATATATATTGTATTTTCATTTCATTTAATAAATACAAAACTATTTAAAACGTATTCAAATCAATGTGGTTAATTAAAAGTCAAAAAAAGCTTGAAATAAATAATTTTGCTTAAAGTTTATAAAAAGATGAATATAACTCGTTTGTTAAAAGAAATATTACCAATTAACAGTAAAATATTGAAGCATGAATCACCTGCATAAAGACAATAAAAATTTATTTGCAATTATTTATTATAATGATAACAATGCTTATTGCCCTTATTAATGTGTCATTCGTCATTTTATATTTTTTTTTTTTTGCTACTGTGCCTTTTTTACGCTTCAGGGAATTTATAAAAAAAAGAAATTTATTTAAACTTAATTAAAGAAGAACGTACATACAAAGTAGATTTAAACATTAATATAAAAATTAATGTAAAGGAAAAATTATTCAGAAAAAATAACAGTAAATTTAACTTAAGTCATCATAATATAAAACGCGATTTTCGAAGACCTTTTTTGGATTGGCTGTAAAAATAACCAATTCTTAAAAATTCATTAAAGCTTTATTTGAGTCGATACAACGACCAACATAATTATATGTACTTCTTCTACATTTGCATGGGAACAGCTTACGCGATGAAACCAGGTCGCTGTCCATCTAATTCTACCTACGAAATGGAGGTGTTATTCGCCTCTACTTCTACCGGAAAGTATTGCATATCGTCTGCGGAATTCGCAAGCCCAAGACCGAAAGGAATATAAACCATTCACAACACTTTTTTCTCAAAGACTCCCAAGGCCCGATATCGTCGACGCCTCCGCTTATTTACAGTGGGCTTTAGTTTTTTACACAATACAATCATTGAACCTTATAAGCGATATTGAGGAGATTTATATTTATCTCACTATAATTGACATCGTGTGGACAGAACACACTAGGGCGCCGATCATTGACCTTAGACTTAACTTAACCTCACAAAAATAATCTATTCGCGTTACGTCCCACGATCTAGGCCGCCACGGAACTCGCTTCTCGAGCTGGTCATTGTAAACGTTTCATGGTATTCGCTCGCCGCTCGCAGTCACGTACGAATCTTTGTTGTCCCAGTATTACCGGCGACCCATAACTCACACCAAAGCTACTTTTGAGGATGTATAGCTGACTGTTGATATGAATCTGGTTACTCTTCTCGCAAAGTACGACAATCTTGCTGTTTACTTGTTCAGTCAACCAGGTATGAGCTTCATCCCTGAACTCAAATTCTTCATCCAACCAGCAGCAAGACTTTTCACATAGTGCAGTAACAGAGACTCAATTGCTGCGAACGGCGCTGAGTCCGTAATTCAGGATGATCAGTCAAGCATGAATGCATATTAGTGGTTTAATGTCCAAAAATGCAAAGTCGGTGTGAAATTTAGTCGCAAGATTCCAAATGGCCGTCTCAGGAGCTTAACTAAACAAACATTAAAATGTAAGTCGAATAACTGTGAAATCAAGGAAAACCCTGCCTTAAAAAAAAGCCAATGAAAAATATTAGAAAATTTGTTGGAAAACATATAGACGCAAAACCACAAATTGCAGGAGGTGCTCAGCCGAAAACCGACTCAACGGTCAGAAAGCGCCAGTTTTATATATGTATAATAAAAAGTGTTAAACTATAAAACTATAGATGTTATTTTAAACAATAATATCATAATTTTCAAAAAACTTCCATCTAAAACTTTAACTTAACCCCGAACTGCAATTAGCAGCGAAATCTCGAACAACCAACATGGCAATGTTAATGGGGTTTTTAATGTATTTCACAGCAGAAAGAAAGCAATAACAAAAACAAAACACGTACATTTCAAAACAAACTAAAAGAAACAACAGTTTGAAAATAAAATCTGTTTGCGAAAAAAGCTCATCATGTAATTTTAAAAGCTCAAAGTACTAATTTCAACGTCAGCTTGGCCATTAGCAGTCGAGATTGCAACTACTCGGCTATGCTGCATAAATTCATGGATACACATACATATGTACATATAAATATATATATGTATGTATGTAAGAAAAATATAAAAGTCTTGATGTGCAAGTGGGAAAAGTCAAAAGGGTAGTTGGCTGCTCGTATTCGCAGCCACTAAGCATTGCATTGAGTATTCCAACATTGTTGGTGTAATGCGTTGAAGCGTTGATTGCTGAGGCAAACACTGATGCGTTGCAATAATTAAGCTATTGAAGAGAAAAAGATTGCATCGAGTTTAAAGCTGCTGGCTTAACAAATGCAAACATAATATTTGCGCGCAAAAATTGGCGATTTTCAGTTTGCTGTTCGCCAAAATACAGCGATTAAAATTAATGAAGTATTAAATAATATTTTTTACCACTTTTTATAGCCCATTATGGTGTGCCAGTTTTCCGTCCATTCAACGCTATCGCTTTATATCTCTAACTTTTTTTCTCCTCTCTAAAATTATTCATCTCTCTCTCTCTTTCTCTCTATCTGTCTATCTCCCTTTGGAAGTCAGCGCATTCTTTGTTCACTACAGCTTTAGTTATGCCATGTTATAATTCTCAACCGGCTTACGGCAACATAAAAAAGTACATATATATTTCTAGCAGCATAAGCTTTTAATTTCAAAATAAACTTTTTTTCAAAGTAATCAATAACAGGATTTTTTTTATCTCATTAGTAACGAATGACAATAAAACATATAAACTGAGGAAATTGATAACCAAGAACTTCAAGGTTACTACGCTAAAAATCTGGAGAGTGAATTGGAAGCAGTAAGAGCGCACTAGAAGATCCGGTCAACATACATTTTCCAGGATGTACGGACAGTAGAAATTTCCAACCTTTGGAAGAAGACGTAGAAACTTTACCACCGAACATCATGTGGCTTCGAAACTTTCAAGCCCCAGGCACAGACGTTGTCTTTCCAGCCATGATGCAAAGAATTGTTTTACCATACTTGAAAATAATTCACCTGTTCTTGGAGAGACGAGAGTTATATTCATACCGAAGGCGCGCAAGGAAAGTTTCAAGGGAAGAAACAGACAGTTGACTGATTATAAATTCATTACCCCTTGGAGTATTTTTGAACTTAATTTTCCATTTAGATTGAAAACGTAACTAAATTCACAAAATCGTTGCGAGTAACACTTAAAACAATTTTCGTTCGGTTAAAGCCTAAAAAACGGGCAGAAAGGACCGAAAAGCATGACAAGATGACTTCGCAACATAACAACTATCGGTCTCGCATAGCTGTAATGAAGTTGGCATCTCGGTGACAACAAGCTTACGAGCAAAACGGCGCATATTAGACTTAAATCGGACAAATCTACACAAATTTGTCATATTTTGAAAAATCAATAAAAAAAAACCGAACGAACTTTTTACTTGACCAATGAAACAAAGTGAAAAAAACACTTTTTTGAACACAAAAAGCGAACGAATTATTTTATAGAATTAAAAATATCATTATTTTAAGAGTAGAAAAAATTGAAATATAATAAATTATAAACCAAATCAAGTTAAGAACTTTATTGAAGAAAATTAAATACGAATTTATTTGAATTTAATTGTATTTTGTTTTTTTTTTTTTTTTTGCTTAGTTTTTCAATCATCTTCACTGCACATTTCTTTCGGTTTTAAGTTCTTTGCTTCTTATTAACTACTCATCTCCGCATTAATTTTGAATTTGTTAATTAACTTCCTTCTTCACTTCTCCACCTACCCCACTCACTACCCGCTGAAACTAAATTGCATCTACAACATTAAGTAATTTTAAAATCATTAATTCTCACTAACTGAAATATATATCCATACAACTTGGTATAAATAAAGAAGAAAAAACATACCAAAGTAAAACGAAGAAATAAAAATAAAATTCCATTTACTCCGTTTACCTGCGCATAAAGAAAAGCACTTAGCAGCGCGTTATTTCGAATTCTTCCGCCAAGTTACTGAAATACTTTTTGCACCATAGCGAAGTGTGCAAACGGCATTGTACAACAATAATTTCAAACTACCTTATGTAGTACTATGTATGTATATGTATGTACATGTGTATGTGGTTGAAAATGAAAATGCATTTAAGTTGCCGCAACTATTTTCATTGTATTTACCTTGTACAATTTATTGCGAATTCTCTTCATTTCTCTTATTTACTATATGTCTGCATAAATGTAGTTGTTTTCAAAGTATATATGTATATAAGTATTTCAATACTAGTATAAAAAAAATTATAGACAGAGCAATCAAAGCAGTAACTGTCAGGTAAAATGTATAGAGATTTTAAGGAAATAAATTTTAATTAAAAAAAAATATTTCTTTGGTAATCATAAAGATTTTGTGTAGGTAAATTAAAAGAATTTTTAAAATATATACAAAAAAACAATGAAAGGCAAGTTGAATATTGTCGATTTCTGGTCAAAATGATTCTTCAATCAAAAGGAAGCGTTAAAAGTTTTAAAAAATACCATCTTTTGGAACTTTTATACAATAGAGAAATGAACAGAGATATATTTTGGAATCTCTTGTTCTGTTTAAGGTATGTTCGAGCAATATTCTGTCATTTTTTATGTAAAAAATACAAGTTCATTCAAGGTTTTCGAAAAGAAATATAAATAAAATGCTTCTAAAATGATATTTTCATAAATTATATAGGAAATATTATCTTACTCAATGGACCGTCTCGCCAATTTTTGCTAAATTCGAAGCAAGATTTTGAAGACTGAAGACTTTGAAGACTGGCAGCAGTGGATTGAATGGCTTGAGAAATGCATTGACTTGAATTATGTAGAGCAGAAAGAAAACGACAAAGATTACGAATAAATACAAAAAGAAGTTTTTTCGTTATTTTCTTAACGCTTATTGGTTACGGAGCACAACTAGTGTGAAATTTCAAAAAAAAATTTTTTTTTTTTCATTAGTAGATTACACCTTTCAAAATAACATTAAATTTTCAAATCGATATCTCAAATAGTTATTGAGTTATAGCATTTTAAAGAGCAGCCGCTCGGCAGCTAGAGAGCCTCATTCTACAAGTGAAAACGATTATTTTATCTTTAAACACATTTTTCTCGAAACAGCATTTTCCGAATTTGCTCCAGTGATTACTCAAAAACAAATGATCCGATCACTATCGAATATTTGCTAACTTCGTTACGTTCGTGGTAATTCTCGATCACTTTTTTGTACATATTGGCCGGAATCACAGTCAGACTTTGACGAATGTTGATTTTCAAGTACGCAAGAGTTAAAAGTTTATACACTTAAAACCCTCCTCAAATTACACGATTCCGGTGACAAATTGACATAATCAAGACAAGACAATATTACCCACACGGGTTAGAGGTTAGAATTTACCCATTTCTAACGACAGGCTTGTCTTATTAGAAGTGACTAAAATCCAATAGTTCTCGCGACTGTCGAAGCTTCATACCAAAAAGACCCGGATTTTTATTCAACCAAGTCACTCCCGCAACATTTCCCAAAATCTTCTTTAGGGAGTATTTTTGCGGTTACAAGAAAGAGAAAGACATAAGAAATTTCTTTCGCAATAAAACCACATTCGCTGGATTGAGTGGCATGTGACACTAAGAGTATATTGTAGAAACCTCATATTGCCCAAGTTGTGTTCTTCATTTTCAGATAGTAAGAAGTTGACAGTCGTATCGTTGTCGTTTTTAGCGAAGTAAGTTTCAATCACACTTGCGGACCCAAGAGAGCACCCGTAAGTTTTTTTTCCTTTGATGTAATGTCCTCCCTTCAATCCCTTTTTAAGGATTCACGGTGACCAGAATACGCCAATTTTGCTTATTTACATAGCTCTAGTATGTCCCGTCGCTGAAGAAACTTTTTTTCAAAAATCACTGCCTATTGGTTGTTGTCACAAGCACCCATTCGGCGTATGTACGGCGCATCGATTGGCCTTCGGCTTCACTTTCACTTACAGTGGCGATATTTGAGATGAGGCATTAAAATGACCTGTAACCGATCTAATCTCTTAAAATTACTTTAAGGGCTTACCGAATGGCTAGAGTAGTTTGACGACCAAAACCATCATATTGGACAAATAGATTGTATAGGTTAAAGTTTCAAACCACCGCTACCACTACCACTTTCAAATGGTCGGACGCATCATTAGAGACATGCGTATAAATTCCAAAATAGTAATAACATTGAATTCATGTACATTTCAAAAATCAAATTAAAAAAAAATGAATTTTTTGAGAATTCTAACTAGATGTAACCCCTTAAGAAAAAAATTTCCCTACCGTGTAATCTCTCTTCGAATCCTCTCAACTTCGTTCTTTTAGGTCACGTAAAAGATTAGGTCTATGTCTACAGGCTAACGTCGATTGAAAATACCTCAAAGTTCGAATTCGTGAAGCTATTGAGGGCACACAGTAGCCACTTTGTAAAACTTTTTCACATTTTTCAAGCAAGATGTATTGAATGATACATTTCTAGGAAATTATAAACTTAAATTATTATGTTTACAAATCTATATATATTCAAGAGAGTAAAAGCGTAATCAGAAAACAAATATATAATGATTTTTTTTTAATTTTCTTGAGAAAAAAAAAGATTTTTTTGGACCACCCCAATTTCCAAACTATACTATAATATCTATAATATAAAATCTATATTATAAGTTTTTATCTATCCAAAGATGAATTATGGGCAACTAATTTGAAATAGCTTAATAAAAAAGTTTTACAATGAAATGTATGAGACGTGTTTGACGGGCTGGCGGGAAAGTGTGTGTGTGTGTGTTTCACTTGCAACTTTGCCACAATTGACAATCATAAGACAGAATATTGCACGTAACACATACAAATATATATAGTCCATCATTTGTACTGGCACAATCATAGAATTGTGAAAAACTTTCGAAATACCGTTTACAATCCCAGCGAAGCTGCAATTGCACCAAGCCACTTGCTCCAAGCTGGACAAACATCAGTCGGTGTGTGCGTATGCTCATAAAGGGATAACGAAAAATTGTGAAAAATTGAAAGTGACATTATTGCTGCGATAAAAAGAAACGTAAAGTGTTGGAGAGTTGAGCTGAATGTGTCAATAAAAGCCAATGAGAAAGTTAATAAATAACCCATATGGATGAGAGTAAACTATAAATGATATTTGTTGTTGGTGTGTGTGCGATTGAGTTTATACTTCAAATTACAACAACATTTCAATGCAATAGAGAATGTCAAGCCCCTCGAATGTATTTCTAATACTAAATTTAAGGCTCCTGATATAAATACAGCGGTCGTTCGGTGGAGGTTTGAAATAAGCAGTAGATACCTGGAACATCAAAACGCATACCACTAATCGGCGGAGGAGATCAGCCGAAAATCGCTTCTTCGTTTCGTTTGTCATTTAAGCTGCTCGCGTTGAATATTTTTTCAGCACTTTTTATGTTAATTTGTTAGCACTCTTCTAATTATTTTGCCAAAAATGAGCGCGATCTGTCAACCCGTTTGCTTGCAGCAGCCATTGAAAACAGTCGACCTCAGTACCCGCTTCGAATTTTCTTTCACGGCCTCAATCGAATCAAAACGGGTTCCATGGAGAGGTAAATGGAACGCTCACACCGTCTTTAAATATTATTTCTAAGCGGTTCCCAAGATTCCAGGCTGCACATTTTTTCCGAGTGGACGAGCCCGGAGAAGGTCGACCTAAATTTTCCGCTGATGACGGTCCTGTAGCTCTGGTCAAATCCAAAATTGGCGAAGACACAAAAAGTGTTTGCTAATGACTTGGACTTGGATGCTGTATGGTGAATATTAAGTAATCATCTGGGATATACGAAGAAATCTGCTGGATGGGTGCCACGACTTTTAAATGAGACCCAAAAAGAGGCTCTAGTGCATTTTCAATTCAATTTTTCCTAAGCAAACTCGAAAATGGTCAGTCTGGCAACTTTAGTAATATTAGTTTTATAAGTATGATCTACAACTTAAACAGCAGCCTATGGTATGCAGCCCAAGAAGAGCAAGCTCACCTGTAAAATCTAAGCAACAAAAATCAACAACAAAAGTAATGTTGTCAGTTTACTTCATCCGATCTAAAATCATTGCTGCTATTCTACTGGCAAAAGGTCTGGCGGTAGCTGGAAACTGCTACACCGCAGGGTGCTTACCAAAAGTTTTAAAAAAATTCGTTGAAAAACAGGGCGAAAGAGGATTTGCGGCGCTACTTTTTAGATCACGACAACGCGTCATCTCTCACTGCCGAATCAATGAGTAATTTTATTGCGATCTCTAGGATCGAAGAAACACGTCCAACACCATATGCCCCCGATATAAAGCCTTGTGATTTGTGGTTATTTCCAAAAATAAAAAAATTTTAAACGGAGGCCTTTAATAGCAACAGGGAGATAATTAATGCAGTTAATACTAAGCTTGATAAGCCTCGAAAGCAAGATTTTGAAGACTGAGAGCAGTGGATCTAAGGGCTTGAGAGATTCATTGACTTCAACCATTTAGGTGTACAACTTTGCTTTCGCCGTTTTTTTTTCCAAAACTAAAAGCTTTATAGCGAAAAGGCGGTTACAGATATTTTATTCAAAGTATTGTCCTTCGCTAGCGACAACTTTCTTCCATCTTTCCGGCATTTTTCGGATCCCGACTCGAAAATAGGAGTCCTTTTTAGACGCTATCCATGAAGCAATTCATTTTTCCAATTCTTCGATGGATTGAAAATGTCGATCTGCCAGGCCGTGTGCCATCGAACGGAATAGGTGGAAGTCAGAAGGGGCGAAATCTTGGGGAATACGGCAGGGTGGGGCAAGACTTTCCATTTCAGCGTTTCCAGATATTTTATGACCACTTTTGCGATGTGAGACCGAGCAATGTCGTGTTGGAGGATGACTTTGTCATGTCGCTCTTGCGATCTCCTGTGATGGTTTCACCCGGTTTTAAGAGCTAGTTGTTCATCTTTGAAGGTTTGTTTTCTTCCACCACCATGTTTGTCTTCGACATCGAAATCACCATTTATAAAACGTTGAGTTTCTGAGAGCATTCGATGCGCTTCAGCTCTATTTTATTTCGAATTGTAACGGAAAAGTAAAACTTTCCGCAAATGGCGAGAATTAGGCACATAAACGGACATTTTCGAGCGTGAATAATACGAAAACAAGAACAACTGTCACTGAAACGGCGATGACAATTCGTTAGGCACTGTCCACACTCACTTTAAAGGCATTATCCATCTATGTATATCAACCAGACTCAGCAGGTACAGCCACCTATCGAAAAACGGCGGAAGCAAAGTTGTACACCTGCATGTAGAGCAGACAAAAAGGGACAAAGACTACGAATTAAAACAAAAATTTTTTTTTTCGTTTTTTCTTATCGCATATTTGTTAAGCCCCACGTAGGTGTAGATATATAGAAAATGTGCACAGGACTTGATAAAATTTCTACATAAATCTTTCTCACAAATTAGTCTATACATTTATGAAAAGCGCATGAAAATCCATTTTGTAGTTTTTGAGTTAATCGCAAACAGACAGACAGACAGACAGCCACAAAGGAGGTCGTTTGTTTTATAATTTTTTCAGCATACTGAATTTATTGTTACTACAAAATATTTATTCATTAGAAAAAATGTCCTTTATAAATTAATTTCTGAAATCTGAAATTAATTTTCACCAAATTCACAAAATACAAATTTGCTTCGAAAGAAAATTGCCTTAAATTGTAACTTATTTCATTATTAACACCTTACTTACTGCAGCTAATTGTTATTACTTATTGACTATTATTCACCCAGAATTCAATTGAAGTGCATCAATAATTTGCAAGTGATTTAAATTCACTTCATTGCAAATTGCAGCTAGTAGGAAGTTGTTGCTGCTGATTTAGCTGAATATTCATTATTTTGTTTTTGCTTCGTTTACTGACTACAGTTGGAACTTAACAAATTGTTGTGTGCAAAGTATAGCAATAATTACCTGACATAAATAATTTAAAAGCATATTTTGAAATCATCTGCAATTGCAACTGCATCAAAACAGAGACGAAGTACTAAGGCAAATTGGCTGAAAGTTATTTTGTGCTTAATGAGTTCAGTTCGTTTGATATTATGAAGAAATTACAGATATTCATTCATAAAATTAAAAGTTAATCAACGGTAGAGAAGGTGTTGTAAATGTTCACTAGTAATTATACCAAAAATATACACATTTATATTGAATATGAATACAGATTCAGATTTTGAAATATTCAATCAATTTCTCATGCATGAAAATATAATTAAAAAAATTCAGAGTGGCATTCTAGGATTGGAGCTGAGGGTTAAGTGTTTGTCAGTCATTAACCTGAGTGTGGTGAGAAACGATTATTTTGCTGATGGTTCCAGCGTCTTGCGTGACTTTCGACTTTTCGATTCAAACAAACTTTGTGTGGCTGGGTTCCGCTTGGAAGCGAGCTAAGGTGAGTGCAATAACCTCTTGTTATCGCTTGCCTTGTTTGGTATCCGCTACGTAAAAAAAATGTATACAATAAAAATGCAATAAGCGACAAACATATAAGAGACCTTTTGTTGACGACCCCTGAAACTGTTAAGAGCACCGCATGCACTTGGAATGTCGGGTCCCTTAATTGGAAAGCTGCAACTGCCGCTGATTGATCACTTGGAAATAATAAAATCTCAAAAAGTCCAATAATAGGGACAAAGGCGAATAAGGCGCGTCCCTGTGAAAGCTACTACGGCAGCCATATCGGTATTGAATTTTTATTGGAAAAGAGACTACGTTCTCGTGTCCTCTCAGTGAGCGCGATGGATTTACGTTTCATCACAGTCTAGGTCGAAAGGTGGAGATCTTCAACGTTTTGTTGATTTCCGAACATATCGCGACGGAAAAAAAGACGATGATAACAAGCTCTGTTACCGCAGCGATGTCACAATAATGCTTGACGATTACGGATCAGGACTCCACGGTGCAACCTTCCGAAAATTCAGACTTTATTTAACCAACTTTCCCAAACAGAATTAGACATAATCAGAATAAAAAAAAACTACAACTACAACTACACACCAGTTACCGCAGTGAGATCAATCTTCTTGTTGAATTCCTGCTTTCGCAGAAGATACATTTGGCTCGGCAGCAGTGCTGGAGCAATGAAGAATGCCGAACTACAGTGGTTAAAAAAATAAACCGCATACCTCACAAGTCTCTCAGGTTGAGACTGTTGCCGAAAGAGAGTTTCACACACAAAACGAGTGACTTCGAAAAGACTTAATATGAAAAGTTTTGAAAGACGATCTATGAGAAAATGTCGGACTTATAAAATGTTTCAAGACCTGAGCATACGGAGATAGAGCCCAAAGAAGTAATCTGCCGCTCAATCCTTATCTATCTATATATTCCGATGGAACGGATACTTCCGAAGCACAATGGAAGTGAGTGAGTTGATGAACAAGAAACTCAAACGGATGACAAAAAAATTGATATTTTATAGCCCGCATTTGTTGTAAAACGAATAGTAAGTAATTCCTGCTTGAGCAACAACAGATTAGTAAGATCAAATGGCATAATGCGAAAAACTTTGAAAGTGCATGAAGGTTCAAAATTGAATCAGATTGGAGCCTCATTATGTTCAACTCACTCAACTACTGTAGGATTAGTCTCCTCAAGATTCCTTATATGGCCAATTAAATGAAAAATTGAAGCCCACCTCAGCGAACTGGTCCGACTTCAACCGTTTGGCATTAGGACTGTCAGATACTATTATATAACCCAGCTATTCAGTAATCCTTCAAATCTGAGGAAAGAGCCGTGGAAAAAGGATCGACACGCAACACATCTTCATAAATTGAGGCCGTACCATACTGACGGGGTTTTTGACTAGATGACTCTCTATCGTGCGACTTCCTCAATATTAGGCTAGTGAAAATATTGAGATCTACACAAGAGTGTATAGCGCTGTCATCCTCAGAACACTCGCGCTATGACGTCCATATCCCTCTTAACGGTTTTTACTTTGAAGTTTTAGATCTTGGAAACTGCCTTAATGGCAACAGCAATCAGTTTGGTAAATATCTGCGTTTTTAGTAGGAAATTGAAAAGTAAAGTTCGCTCTCAACGAATAAAGCTCAAACTCTTTAAGTCCCTCATCATTCCCGTCATCGTCTAGATGGTGCCGAAGCAAAAATATCCGCTGGGTCGGCGTTAGGAGTTTTCCACAGAAAGGTTTTGTGGAAGATTCACGCTTTTTATGCACTAGCGACGGTGAATGGCACAGATGAGGGAACGATGAGCTGCATGAAGTGCATGTAAAGCGATATTGATATAGTGCAACGAATCTGAAGGCAGCTAGCTCAGTATGCCTGAAGAGCTGGCACTCCAGCTCTGAAACTCTTCAACGCAGTACCCGCTGGTGGCAGGAGAAACAATAAGTACATACATATAACTTTTATAACTTTAAGAAGCAAGCAAAACGCATAAATTGGCAAAAATCCGTATATATAAAATCCATTGAAAAAAAATTTTAAATTTTCTATCAAATAAATTTTTGTAAAATTTATCTTAATAAAAATGCCATTCACCTAAATATGCGAAATCATATGCACGCATACATAAATCTACAACATCCAATCTCTCCGTTTCCATTAATCTTTAACCACACAAATCCCAAATGATTTATGCAGGTGAAATAACAGTGTTAAAGGTGTAGAGCTGCAGTTGAAGCAGAAGCAGAAGAAGAAGCAAAATCGAAAGCACACAAAAAAAAACAAACAATGCCATTTAAATTACTTACATACACACACTACAATAACACATGCGAGGTAAACAAACATACACATATGCAGGTATATAAGGATATGTGTATATATGTGCGCTTGTAAAAAAAAATTATAAATGCTAATAAACACAACAAAAGAATACAGAAAGAGTTGAAGAAAATAACTTCACTTACAGCAGCAAAATAATCATAGAAAAACTGTTGTAAAAAGTACAATTGTCGGTGTGCAGTTGTACATTCGAATTGCGAAATATGTTTGCCTTTACATAGGTGTTGCTATAATTGCTTTGCTGCCTGCTAAGCAAGCTACTGTGTAATCAAAATCTAAAAATATGTATGTATGTATTTATGTAAGTATGTATGTATTTATGTATGTATATATGTATATAAATGTCTGTATGTAAATGCGTATACTCAACTGAGTTTGAAAAGAAAAAAATTGTCATAAAACATAAAATATTCATATACATATATATATGTAATGCAAACATTCAGCCAATACCTCTTCCTCACCATACCTACTCTTTTACTCATAATTTTTATCTCTTTTACTTTTCTCTTTTCTTCATATCTCTTAATATCCTTACCGACAGGGCTGCGTTGCTGTGCTGAGCTTAACATGGATCATCAGCTTGACGGTGTTCGGTTTTCTGGTGCTGCCGAAAGGTAAGAACACTTGAAAGTAAACAAAAAACTCCTTCAAAAGTAAAAAAAAATATATATATGTAAAAGTTTATTTTTTTTTAATATTGCTGCCTAATGACACGCGCAATTAGCTTGAAGCACCAAAAATTGTATGGCACAGTTTACGTAAATGTGGTTGCTTTAAGCAGCTTACTCTGTATCTGTGGCTTAAATTAAAATGATTTGTTGAGAAGACGTTTTATTAAAGAAATCTATCCAACTAAATAATTTAGAACTTTAATGTAATTATGTGATCATTCTTTCAGCCCAAAGTGCGTCCAAAAGTGCCATATGACTTCCAGGTTCTTAGGCTAATCGTCTTACTTGGAAGCTTCTTAACACAGTCTTAATTTTTCGGCGAATTTTTCTTTGTGCGACAACCAAGTTTAGAAAGAAACACTATAAATAACTTTTCTTGACCATCTCATGTTTCTACGAGCAACCCTAATACCACAAGGATACTTTCATTCTAGTTGGAAACTTTACTGAAATGAACATTTCTTGATGACACAGCCAATTTAGAGCTTTAAAGCTAACTACTCTCAAGCGAACTATGACTAGGCGCAGTCAAAGTATGGTTTTCATAGGCAAAGTGGTAATGGAAGTTTAGTACGTATTCTTCAAACGGAAGCTTCAGTAATCTTCAATTAGTCATTGTAGACTTTGGCGCAAAACATAATACTCAGTTTTCGCTAAACGGAAATCGAGAAAGTTCTTGGAATGATTCGTTCAGAGGAAATGGATATCCAGTATTTTATTCTTATTCTTATTTTCTTAGATAACCCATAACCTAAGTGAATGCTCGAATTCACAATAGCACATGAGTCGTTTCCACTTTTCTACGATTACCAAATATTGAAGACACCAAGTACATATAAGTCGGCTTATACGTCGGTCGACACTCAATGTTTTCATCGAGTTTAGGTATTCCTCTTCATTTTCTACAACCCAATTGGAACTGGGTTGCTATAGCGTGTAGTAAAGCCTCTGGGTATGCAGTTATAGTCACAGAACTAAACTCAATTCATACTCTACACATACACCACGGAAACGTGGGCATCCTCTGTGCTGGCTGCAAACCCAACTTGTGTATATCCTTGGATCGATATACATCACCTCTTCGCAGATTTTAAAGCAGCCATCGACCGCACTAAAAAGTATTGCCTCTACGTTGTTGTCTCTGAATTTGTAATTCCTCAAAACTCAGCGGGATATGTAAATTGACGTTAAGTAATACCAAAAGCTCTGTCAGCATAGAGTTGGACCTCTCCGACCCGTTCGATACAAATTGAGGTTTCAAACAAGGTGAATCCTCATCATGCGACTTCTTTAATTTATTGCTGGCGGAAATAATACGAGCTGCAGAGCAGAATAGAAAAGACATAAGGCATAAGGATCCGGTAGTGATCAAGGTTAAGCCGAAATATCTCCTGTCAGCATGCATTCATTGTATATACGACTCAGCTCCCGCATCACTGTAAACAGTCCTAACTTCGAGATCATAGATAACGCTGGCTAGATCTTATGCTCTGGATGGATAAAAATACTCCAGCTGGAAAGTATTCGATACAGTACTTACCGGTGGAAGCTTAGATGGAGCAGGGCGTGGCTACACTTCGTATTTCTAATTGTCGTCAAACAGTAAAAAGAAGAATTGCAAGGTGCACAATGGTGAACTCTGCTGTAATCACGTAGGGCAGTGTCTAAGCCAGCAAAGAAGAACAAGCTGGATCTGCCATTGAAGCTCTCAATGTACGCTCTTCTCAGATCAAACATGAAAATTTAGCTGTAGTAATCCAAATTACTTACTTCCTCCTCTCTTTCTACAATACATTCTTTTCCATTAGCAACTAATGAATCTCTTAAGCCGAGATACTTCACAGGATGTACAAGGCGTTCATCTCTTTTACTATCAACGCAAAGCACATTTGACTTAAAGGCATAGATTCAACTGTGAAATAAAAGAAGCGTTCTTCCATTTGCTACTCCAATTCTATAAGCTCCTAATAATCTAGGCTGTGGAACAATTGCAAATTGCACTCACACTTACATACATATATCGTTTACCATATTTCCATATAGATTATCAGATTAATTTTCCATTTATCTACTTCCAGGCTATTACTTCAACAACACCGGCCTCATGGCCTGCGAACCATTCTACAGTAAGCCTTCATATCGCATATTGGCCACCTGCGCACTCTACTTCCCCACCACCATGGTATTAATGTACTGTTACGGCTCGAGTTTTCATATGAGCCGTTTCCGGTTAAACGATCCAACGATGCCACTAACAGCTGCGGTACATCATCCGCATCTCGGACATCCGCCGCACTTGTTACAACACTCGATGCACGGCGGCCAACACATACATCATGGTGGCACTGCTGGTGGTGTTGGTGGTGCTGGTGTTTTAAGTCATCATGGCCTACCGCCGGGCACTACAACGCTACCAAATACGCCTGTAATGAATCTCAGCATGGCGATGAGTATGGGTTTAGGCATGGGGGGGATGAGTGGCATGCATTACGGTGGTGGTATGGGGGGCGGTGGTGTTGGCGCCGGTATTGGTGGTGGTAATGGTGGCTCCGCCGGTGGTGGTCCAACAAATAATGTTACAAAAAAGGTAAGTGCAAGCAATGGTTATTGGAGGAAGTGTAGCGCCGTTTAGTTGGTTAAAAGCCGAGTTGCATGCGCAATGGTTGTGAGGCTGTTGAGGCTGGTGAGTTGGTTAACTAACCGCAATTAAAACAAGCATTTCAAAACAAAATGCTGAACAACAAAGTGCTTAGTCGAGGCAATGCTGATTTGTCGGATGTTTAGCTATCACTTTGTAGGCGCTCGTTTAGTGTGACTCTCACGCGTTGGTAACATAAATTCTGGCTACAATTTTCCGAAAGCCATTCAGTATGAGCAAGTGCAGTTGTGGCCGGCGATAAGCATCATAAAGTGGTTCCTTTACTAATTGAATGGCCGAGTAGAGCTGCCAAAGCCAAGCAGCCAACTGGCTAAGCTTACTAAGCTTTTTTTTCATTTTCGCAGCAAATAATAGCCTTTTTGTATAATTTTTCTTTCTCTGCTCATTAGATTGTTCCCATCCAGGAAAAACACTCTGCTGGCAACACATCACGCTCTATGGCTGCCATTTCTCTGGGTTTCATTGTTATGGTCACACCGTGGACGATACAGGAGATTGTCACTGCCTGCACGGGTTCGAAGGTAACTGTTTTTACTAATTTTGCAAATAAAAAATTATTAAAAATTTTTATCAAGTAAATATAATTTATTAAAAGTTGCTATTGTTTTATCTGGTTCTCTTTAAAATTCTTTAAACCACGCATGCGCACCTCCAAAATTTTAGAGTTGGTTACTTAGGGGGAGATCCGACGTCTCAATTGGCTGAAGACAGGATACCGCCGATGGCGCTTTGCCTAGCTTATGAAGATGATGATGATGATGAAGGTTTCTCTTATTTAATTCAACTAACGGTTGGCGGCCGCGATAACCGAGTGATTAGCATTGCGTGCTGCCATTCGGAAGGCGTGAGTTCAAACCCCGGTGCGACCAACACACAAAAAGTTATAGAAACTTAATTTAAATAAAAAATTCTAATTGCGGTCGCCCCTCGGAGGGAATGTCAACCCCTCTGAGTGTATTTCTGACATGAAATGAAGGCTCCACGTAAAAAAAAAAACATCAGCCGCTCGGAGACGGCTTAGTATGTACTGTAGATCCCTCTATTTGTTGGAAAAACATCAGGACGCAAAACCACAAATTGAAGGAGTAGCTCGGCTCGGCGTCAATTATATAAGGTTATCTCCCTTCCGCTTTTTTGCACTTCATTCAATGCTTTATCAAAAGTGTTACAGTGATCGTATTTAGTTAAAATATGCGCCGTTTTGTTCGATGATCTGTTTCCATCTAGACGGCAACTTCATAATACCTTCCTCGTAGAAGCCCCCCTCCTTATTTGCGAAGAATTCGGACAGCCACTTTTCACCAGCCTCTTTTGAGTTCAACTTCACACCACCAAGAGCATTCGCCATGGACAGGAACAGGTGGTAATCACTTGGCACTACGTCCGGGCTATATGGTGGATGCGATAAAACCACCCATCCAAGCTCCCATAGCTTCTGACGAGTCATCAACGAAGTATGTGGTCTGGCGTTGTCCTGGTGGAACACTACACCCTTCCTGTTGGCCAATTCTGGACGCTTCTGGTCGATCGCCTGCTTCAAGCGGTCCAGTTGTTCGCAGTAGATGGTAGAATTAAGCGTCTGGCCATATGGGAGCAGCTCATAGTGGATGATTCCCTTCCAATCCCACCAAACACACAGAAAAATCTTCCTGGCCGTCAATACCGGCTTGGCCACTGTTTGGGGCGATTCGTCGGTCTTTGACCACGACCGGCTGGCTTATCCTTTAACGAAGGAAAACTTTAAAATAGCGCGTATTTCGGCGATAGTGAACTCCATGTTTACACGTCTATAACTGTTGAACGCAATATCCAAACTAATCATGCATAGCCTTGTTTTGTAGGTTATGCCAAGACCTTTCAAATTATGTACGAGCCAGATACGAACTCTGTAGCGCTTTGTACATAGCCGCAAAATTCAAAAGACAAAAAAGCGGAAGGGAGATATTTGACAACCTTATATATACTCGTATATATATATAATCCAACTAACGGGTTTGTCTGCTCAATATTTACGTTGCTCCACAATATTTTAGTGGTACGTGCCAAATTGGAAAAGTTCGAAGACATTTAAGTGTTCTTCTATGGTCCACTGTTTTAAATAACATTTGAAGGCTAGCTCATGTGGTCCGAATGTATAAGAGTACTCTAGCTTGGAGACTTGAAAACGACGCAGTTCCCGCCGGTGTCTACACCAATAAAGAAGAAGAAGAAGGGTATGTGGCAGTTAAGCGTGACGCCTCGCCAGCGCAAGCTAGCTCATACGCTTTTTCACTACCTTCTACATCTGTGTGTTCTGGTCGCATCAGAATCGCCGAAAACTCCAACTGAACCTTTTCAAGCTCGTCACCTATATATTTGGTTGGGATTTAGCAGGTTCACTAAGTCACTCTACTGAACCAGCTGTTCTGCTCTCCCTGTGTTTTGTCCCCCGTTTTCCGATCTACGATGCGCCTAGACAATATAGCTTGGCATTCCTTTCACCAGGCCGAATATCCTTAGAAGTCTCTAATCGGAAGGGGTTGTGGTTATCGTGTGATTCGCTGCATACACTGGGCATGCATTATGGCATCATGGCCCAAAGCTTGTTGAACCCGTAGCAGTGTACACATGTCTTACAATCACCAACCGAGACATAAGTCAGTTTGGATTCGAACGAACCCTAGACCTTATGTCACGGAGGAGGAAAATAAGTTCGATTAGTTGCTTGAAATCTAGCTCAATCGAGCTCAGAATCTTTTATTTTCAGATGAGGCGAAGGGGTATACTCGTATATTCCATTTCGTCTCAAGATTCTAGGTGGACATTTAACTGATGCCACCAATTTTACAGCGGATTTCATGGCAATGGTTTCCTAAGCAATGCCGGGAAAAGAAAAACTGGGCGGTGATACCACCTTCTTTCTTGCTCGATTTTGAATTATCATGAATTTGAGGAATTTGCATTTCATTCTTTTTAATTACGTTTTTCAACCCATTTTTTTAATTTGCTGTTAACCACTTATTTTTATAAATATTTGCATACATTCGATTTTCTTTCTCTCTCTTTACGACCACACTGTACTGCTGTACCTTTCCTTTCTTTATTTTCATAAAATATGTACGTAATCTCTCATTCATGTGGATTTTCCTGTGTAATTCTGAAATTCTCTTCCTTTTTACACTCATTCGCAGCTGCCACCCTTTTTGGATTTCATAGTAACTTGGACTGCCTTAAGCAACAGTTTGTGGAATCCTTTTATGTATTGGCTTCTTAATTCGGATTTTCGACGGCTGAGTAAACATCTGATGCCGAACATGGTAAGTTATGTTGAAAAGGATGAATGGAGAATTTTCATAAATCGATAAACTTGTGTTATATTTACTATGAGGTGAGATTCGAAAGTTTTGTTCATAGAATTGTAGAAAAAGGGAAAAGCTTACATTTTCTTACTTATTTTACGGTGAAGGTTGGGAAAGTAACGATGTAAAAAAAGATTTGCTAATTTTTTGCTTTTTCTTGTTTGGTTGAATGGAAAAATGACACCTGACCGCAGTAAACGCAAGACATCTGGACGCAATTAAGACTTTCAGAAGGCTAATTTTACTCCCCGGTTTATCCCAGCCATGCGTTCTCAAATAGTTCGTTTGAAATAATCTGCCTTATATACTTCCAAATATATTTGCCCTTGTCCGTAAGTCTGCAGCTGGGCTTTAGCCAATACTCTAGCGGTTGGTCCGTTTCCGTTCACGCCCCGCTCCCAGCATGTCTAAGCTGGTCGGGAAAAATACAGATTGCGTCCAGGTGAGCACTGGGCTCAAATCAAAAATTGGGCGCAAACCACTGGTCTGTAATGGAATGACCCAAAAAAGATGAGATCGTATCTGCATATGTAAGAAGCTAAATTCCAGCAGTATAACTTCGCTGAACACCTGAGAATCGCACTCTTGAATAAATGCCAGTATGCAAAAACTCAAATTGGAGCAAGGAATTAGCCAGCGCCTAAACTTGTACAAGGATGTACGCTCCTCGCTTAAACCCAGCCCAATCAGCCGTACACAGCTTTCGAAAATGATAACTCAGTGGTGTTCTCCATCAATATAGCAACAACTTTTACTAAGTTCCGCTTTTTTGGTCCGTCAACCTGTGTAGTATAACCTCTGTTGAAAATACACCGACATTTTAAATGCTTGTCCACAGTATACTACTGCAGACAGCATTTGAAGTCGCTCAAAGGACTAAAGCGGCGCCGGCTTTAGCCAGTTCATTCTCTTTTCGTTACCTTTTTACTTTCAGTTGACCCGCTTTATTTACCTTAGTTGCGGCTTGGCTGTCTACTAGAAGTCCTATAGACTCCGAGATGGTCACTATATCTGCGTGAAGGGCACAGTTATTGAAGTTTAAACTGTATTCTATGTTGAGAAAGTCAACTGTTCCGTTTTGTTGGAACCAGGGGTCGTCCACATAACCATCTTACAATTAGTAACACAAATGTCTTTAATCATGGCTCTAAAGGGTCCTTAATTGGCTGTAATATATTGCCAGCATGATTTTTAGGGCAATATGGGCCATTGATTCTCTTATCTATGCTCTATGAGCAAACAGTCACTTTTTGCGGATGTCTCAGCAATGGATTATTGTTTATCCTCACAGCATAAGCGACAATTTCGTTTCGTAACTTCCCCATTGGACCAAAAATGAGCTTCATCGAATATTGGCTAAGAACCGAAACATTATTTTTATAATAAATATGCACGATTTACAAACGTGAACCGGAGCAAGTCTGTTCATTATGAAATGGGAACTCAACCTAAGTACAAACCAAGTAACAGCTGTCGAAGAGACCAACTCCAAAAAAAGTATACCCTCATTGAAAACCGCACGTCCAAGGTTTTCTGGGGCTTTCTTAAGGTAGGTCTCATTGCACTTGATAACCAAGTTAACAGGTATGCTCTACTTGTTTCAGAAATCTAATGAGACACTTCTAATACTAAGTAAAGATCTCACAACACCTTTGTAAAGTTTATAGATTCTTTCATGATCATTGCGCTCATTTTGGAGACGCAATAGCTCTTCTGAAATTGTTCCAAACCATAACTGCTTACTTGGCCTGCTTCCAACATGTCTCCTCCTGTTCTTTTTCAAGGACTAGAGTTTACCCCCGACTTCGTCCTCAATGTAATGTAATCAGGAACTATACTGCGTAATGAATGGTATCAACGGTATTTATCACTGAATCGACAGGAATTTACTGAATTTCGACCCCTTCGATTGATTTAAAAGTATTTTATATATGACTGAGGATGGTTCATTTCTTGGGTGTTAAGATGGTGCGTACGCATCTGCGAGATCTGCGGGCTTATCGTTTATTTCGGTTATGATTGCTCCTAATGCTGCTATTCTGATCCGGGAAATCACCACTTAAATTCTTAAAGATGAACAGTACGAGTTATACAATGATATTAATATAGCTCAGGAAATGAAGAGACAGCGGAAGATCTCCAAGGATCAGGTGGAGAGTGACCTGGTTTCAGTTGATATTTACCCTAGGTGCCCAGCAGCGAAAGGAATAGATGAATCGTGCGATATTATGATATTATTGATTCGACTATAATCGTGTGAGTGGTGCCCACTTCAATAAAAGAAGAAGAAGAAGAGAGTGTGCTAATGTTACCCAAGTTTTTGTTGTTAGTCATTAGAAATATCTCAGCTCCCTTTCGTTTTGAGTCATGAATCATGGTAAAAGAAAATGGATATGTGCTCAAAACAGGTCGTTGGTGGTAAATTTTTTATACAAAAAAACACTATAACAGCAGAAAGTAGTTAAATTAAAGACATTTATTTTCTTACAAAAACAATTTTAAATAAACTTGGCAAATTTTAAATGAATTAAAACTTAAATCTATATTTTCGCCCTCGTCAACCGTGCACTCCACTCACACTCCAGTATGCTCCATTTACGCTCAGTTTGTGCTCATTAAATAAAAATGAGGGTAAATGTTGTAAATTACAGCAACAATCATTCATCAATTAAATGTCAAAGGCTATAATTTGTAATGTAAAGATACGGAAAAATTTATGTTAATTAATATAAAATAAATCTATTGATTTTCAACTCAGCCGCCACTCGCAGCAGCCGACAGCGTAGGCGGATAACAAATATCATAGGAAATTCGCACAAAAAAAATAAAAACCAACCAAAACAAATGGCAGAATCGGTTTTGCAAATAATTATTTATTTGTTTTATTGTATTTGTTATTGTTTTCAGTAAATAAAGGCAACTGATGTACCGAATATGTGCGTATTAATTAATGAAAATAAATAAATAATAAATAAGATACGTATTAAGCACAACAGAGTGTGATGATGAGCGCAAAAATATGTGAAAATTTAGTTTAAAAAAATTGTCCATTTGTAAGTTTAAACGAATCACAGAAGTAAAAAAGTAAAATAAGCATATGTCTGAAAAAATATTAATGACAAAATTAAAAAAAAAAAATAATATTTAATTATTACATTAAAAAATCTTCAAAAATTATAATTAAAGAAAACAATAATAAAAGTGTTGTGTACAGATTATTTTTAAATCCACAAAAAAAATACATACAAATATTGAATGTAAGAACACAAATAGTTGTTTGCCTGTAGGTATGTTACATATTAAATAACCCTTTTTTGGGCTATATTTGCGTACTTTATTTGTCAAATGGCAATAAATCAAAGAAACTCACTGTAATCAATGAACACAAGTCAACCGACATTTAATTTATGCCACACTGAGCAACTGCATAAATAATAAATATAATATTTATGTGCATGAGTATGAGCGTACGTGAGCCATTGACTGTGTGTTGTCAAATCATTTGCAAGTAAATTGTAGTATTTTATTTAAACGCTGGGCGTGATAGTACTCGGTGTGAAAGTGTCAAAATAAAAGATTACATTGTTTATTTAATGAATACGCACAGAAGAAGCCATTCATTTTTGCCAACAACTCCTTCAATTCAGCTTTCATTCCTTTCACGGACGTTGTGTTGTGTTGATGACATTGTTGAAATCAATACGGAATATTTATCTACTTTTAACGTGGCTTAATTAAGTAACTTTGGATTGATACTGTCTTCGGCCAGTTATGAAAATACATGAAGGCATAAAGATGCATACACACTTACAGACATGAAAGCTTACAAACTTAATAACCCATATTAAGCGGCTTATGTGTTTGACAAGGAAGTTAATTTCAATGCCCTAAGCGCTATCGTGTTGGATTTTTGGCATTAAGTTGAATAACAATTATTTATGTTTTCATCTTTTAACACCATCAAAGACAAGAAAATCTGACAAATTGGTAACAATTTATGTATAAGTCAAATCTAATAAAATAACATAATATCAAATACAAAATTAATCAAAATAATGTATTAGTATAAAATCAAATCAAATATTAATGACAAATTAAATTTATAAAAAAGAAATATAATAAAATAAAAGTAAACTAAGAAAAAAAAAAAACAAAATTTATTAAATAAAAAAAAATAAAAATTTACTTAATCAAATTAAAACAACAAGTAAAAATAAAATATAATATTCAATATATATATATATATATATATATAAAAGCAAATATAAAATGAAATTAAATCAAACAAAGTAAGATTAAAGCTAATAATAAACACATTTAAAAATAATTTAAAATAATACAAATAAAATAAAAAACTACAAAAAAGAGTGAAATAAAATAGAAAAAAATAAAAAATAATAAAAATATATGAAACGAAATAATTTGAGATAAAATTAATAATAAAATCAAATAAAAAAATTAAGTTAAATGAAATAAAATAAAAGAAACTAAAATCAAATTAAATAAAAAAAATAAAATAAAATGGAATTACATAAATAAAACAAAATAATAAAAAATATATCAAATTAAATAAAATAATAAAATACAAAATAAAATAAAATAAAATTAAACTAAATTCAATTATATAAGGAAAAATAAATTCAAATAAAAAAAAAATAAATAAATAAAATGAAATACAACAAAAAAATTTAGTAAAATAAGATGAATAGTTAAAAAAATAAAACAAAGTGAGCGAAATAAAATAAATAAAACGAGATAAAATAAAATAAAATAAAATAAGATAAAATAAATTAAATTAAAATAAAATAAGTGTAAATTAAATAAAATAAAATAAAATAAAATAAAATAAAATAAAATAAAATAAAATAAAATAAAATAAAATAAAATAAAATAAAATAAAATAAAATAAAATAAAATAAAGTAAAAAAAATAAAATAAAATAATAAAAATAAATTAAATTAAACTAAATTAAATTACATTAAATCAAATAAAATAAAATGAAGTAAAAAATTGGAAAGCAAAATGGTATAAAGAAATTTAATAATACTAAATTTAATTTAAAAAATTACAATGACTTTAAGTTAAATTAAATAAGACAGGAACAAAGATATTAAAAAAAAAATAATGATTAGATAAAACAAATTAGAATGTTATAGTAAAATATATATTAAAAAAAATAAAATAAAATAAAATAAAATAAAATAAAATAAAATAAAATAAAATAAATAAAATAAAATAAAATAAAATAAAATAAAATAATATATAAAAAAAAGTAAAAAAAAATAAAATTAAAATTATCTATAACAAATATTATTATTCACCTCTGAAACTTTATGTTGGCCTGGCGATCTATCGAACCCGGTTTTCTATTGCACATCGATTATACCACTGGATCAGGGTTTCGTTTTTTATCTCATCTCTATTGAGTTGTTGACACTTTCTTAGTACTTCATTTTCTGGCATGAAAACCGCTTCTGGGTCATAAATTTCACATTTCTTATTTCTGATACATTTTACATTCGCTGGATTCATTTTGCTAAATTCAAGGGCACACTTACTTTCATTTTTCTTGGCGTGGTATTGCTCATTTCTTCGGTTGTATGTCCTCTTTGTCTATCTATTGTATTCGAAGGCGACTTCCCCTTAGTTGTGTTTCTCTTTAGAACACCGCTGTTCCCTGTCCAGAGCCTTGCAGTACCGCCTTAGGTCAGTCGTACCGAAACCTTGGCAACACTTTTTAATACACTTCTCACCGGCTCTTCATCTTCCGTATACCTCGCATTAGCTTAATTTTAATATTAATATTCTTGAAGACCTCTGCAAGCTTCATTATTCATTTTTTCTAGGTCTTATTTATCTTACCTCCTCTTTGGACTTGGTAGAAGTCAGCTGTTTGGTTTTTTCACTACTTCGCCGTACCATTATTTAAAATTCAGTTTCTTCGTTACTAGAAGATCGTCCAGCAGTCCTCGATTCCACCGACTTCCTCACGTTAGGTCACTTAATACATACTGAGTTATTACTTAGCCAACACTTCATTGTGGTTTGTTAATATTATTCTCGCATCTGTCCACCTTTTCTCTAGTTCCCAGTTTATAAATTTAATTCAAGTATCACCATTGTATCTTTTGGAGTGTATTTTTCGATATCACAAATTTTAGTCACAATTATGCTACCTCATTTACATAGACATTAATTTTATGCTGTACATATGTACATATCTTAAGCATTTTAACACACGAGCAAACACAATTCCTTCCCACTCATTTTTCTCACTTCTTATCTCACTAAACTTTTCAACTTTACTATCGTTGCAGTGCTTTCCCACCGAGGACACGCCCGAACACAAATCACCCTGTTGTCACATCAATTCTGATTTTGAAATCACAACGTTGCCACTGCCGCCGGAACCGCCTACCGGACGGCCACCAAAGGGAGGTAACAGCGCGGACGTTGCCGGTGATAACAATGGCAGCGAAGGAGGCAACAGTTCAAGTGCTGGAGGCGGCAGTAGCAGAGGTGGTGGCAGTGGAGGCCTACGTGGTGGCTCAGTGTTGGGTATTTGTGCGAGAGCACGCACCAACAGCCTCAGTCGTAGCGCGTCACAGCAAGCGCGTAAGAATATCAACAGCGGAGGTTGTACCAACAGCAGTCACGGCCATCACAGTCACAGCCATCATGGTGGTGGTAGCGGTTTGAATTACACAAGCGTGCGGCCTGACATCGAAGGTCTTTCCGAAAAGTACTGGGGTGAAATACTCGAACGCACTGTTAGCTCAGGCAGCTTGCATGCATTGACGAAGAGCTTCCCACACACAGCGCCGCATCACTACTACGTACACCACCAACCGATACATCAACATACGCTGCCGCCACCACATACAGGAACAATGACGACGTCGTTTAGCAAACACAGCGAAATGAATCTCAACTTGGCGTTGGCTGAGCATGAACGTCACGCGGCGGCGTTGCACGATGCAAGTGGTATTGGTGCAAGCGGCGCGCTCAACGCCTATGAGCTCAGCAAATTTTCCAGTTCAGAGCCAAAACTTTGCGAACATATCTACCATGATGCCAGCTGTGCCAAAAATAAATCAGCTGCGCTGGGCGGTAGTGGCATCGGTGACGATGTCAAAATGTCAACGGGCAACGCGTCCGCAACAGCGGCGACGGCGAGCGGACGCAGCATACCGGATATTTAGTACGCGGAGAATGTTATATTAGCAAACAATCAAATGGCGCGCATCTGTGCGCGAGGCGCCAACTGTGCTGGGACAATGGGTGGCGCGGGAGCTGCTGATGTTAGTGCTGCTGGCACTGGTCGCAGCAACACTTTAACCACAACGCGTGTAGCTTGTCATAGCCCGCCTGGGCGCAGCATGTCCGTATTAGTCGCCATGCCGATGGCCGAGTACCGGAAGTAGGCGACGAAAAGTACGGGACGCGACAGTGTTGCAGTTGCAATAGAGCCGGAAATGCAGTAAGCCAAAATATAGTACCAAGTGAAAATTTGCGCCAGAAATGAAGAATGCCCAGACCGAAGTGGTAAGAAAATAATCAGCATAAAAGCGTGGCTGACAGCACAGATTACGAGCCAAAAGTAAAAGCAGACTAAGAGCATTCTGTGTAGTGCTCAGTTGTCTCGTGTGGCGCCACCAAAATTTCCCGGGAAATTTGCGGAGACTCAATAGCTAACCTTTAAGTAAACTGTGTAAATTTCGCTCACTTCTGTATGATTGTTTGTAAATATATATATGAGTGTACAGTTAAGCATTTTAAGTCATGTGATAAAACCTACTTTACGTATTTCTACGTCGTAACGTTATGTACAGCGCATCACAGAGGAAGTGGATATGCCATCTCTGGGCTGATTTAATGTTTCGTCATACTAATGACCATTAATTGCTTCACGGCTGACAATTAGTCGCAGATGTAGTAAATGGGAATATCGAAAGGAAAGCATAGCCAGGGAAAATTTGCACAGATCTGCGTTTGCGAAATTGCACTTAATTTTTATTTGTTTTAAATGAGACGCACAGGAGAGCCAATTCAATAATTTAAAAGCGTTTTTTTTTTGTCTTATTTTATTTGCCTCTAATTTATTTTAATTTATTTAATTTTACTTCATTTTATTTTATTTGTTTAATTTTATTTTATTTTAATTTACTTCATTTATTTTTTAACTTTAATCTTTTTATTATTTATTTTAATAACTCTATTAATTTTGTCTTTTTTATTTTAGTTTAGATTATATTATTTAATTTTATTTACTTCATTTTATTTAGTTTGTTGTATATTATATTGTGTATTTAATTATTTTTTTTTTTTTTGTATTATTTTATTTTATATATTCTGTGATTTTTTTTATTTATTTTGTTTTATTTTATTTTATTCTATATTATTTATTTGATTTTGTTTATATTAATTTAAATATGGAATTTATTTTAGTTCCATGTATTGTATATTAATTTATTTTATTTTCTCTTATCTTGAAGTGTGGTTTTTACTTATTCATTTACTTTTTGATGTAAATTTTGCTTTAGTTTTTTATTTAATTTAATAATTTTAATAAATATATTTATTTCATTTTATTTTATTTTTTTGTATCTTATTTAGGTTAATGTTATTTACTTACTATTATATTTTTTAATTTAAATTAATATTAATTTTTTTAATTTAAATTTAAATCGTTTTATTTATTTTGTTTTATTTTATTTAAATGATTGTAATAAATTATTCATTTTGTCTTATTTTATTTTAACTGCTTTATCTATTTTGTCTTATTTTATTTTAAATAATTATTTCATTTTATTATATTTTATGTTGTTATATTTTTTTTCTAAATTATTTAATTTCATTTTATTTTAATTTAGTTTTTTATTTTATTTTATCTTATTCTGTTTAAGATTATATCATTTTATTTTAGTTTTTTTTTATTTTCTTATTTTATTTATATATTTATCTTTTAATTTAATTTAAATTGTTTTATTTATTTGGTTTTAATTTATTTTAATTACTATAATAATACTATTACTATTATAATATACAACAATATTTTAATTATTTTATTTACTTTTTTTATTTTATCTTACTATATTTAATGTCATTATATATTTTTTATTTTAGGTAAATTTCTTTTATTTTATTTTAGTTTGTTTTATGTTTTTTTTTTTAAATTATTTTATTTTATTTTATTTTATTTTATTTTATTTTATTTTATTTTATTTTATTTTATTTTATTTTATTTTATTTTATTTTATTTTATTTTATTTTTAGCTCATCATAGTTTTTATTTGGCATATTTTTGAAATAGAGTTTATTATAAATAAACCATCAAGATAAATAAACTATATTTCGTACGAACACCAATGGCCGTCTTATGTCGCGTCTGATAATAACACTTAACCCATGAATCACTCAATATCTATTCCGAATTATAGAAAAATCTGTAAAAGTGTTTCATAGGAAATTCAGTTTCAAATATCGAATATGTATTTTACGTTTATTAGATAGTTAGAGAAATCAGTCTATAGTTAAAAAGATTAGAATCATAGAATATTATAAAGAAGAGTTCATTAATGGTTTTCTCATTTAATAGATAGCAAATTTCATAAACTGATAATAATTTTTTTATTAACAAATTATATATGTTTTAATTATAAATATATTTTGTGGGATTGATTTTAATATTTTACAACAAAAGCGGTATTTCATGTAGAAAAAGTGAATGTTAACAAATAATTTATAAAAAAAAAATATTCAAGTATAACAATATTATGTACATATGATGGAGTTATAAATTAAACGACTCAAAATTGTTGTGTGGGTCAAAGGTCGAAATGGCACTCACCAATTTAAATATTTAAAGAAATAATCAGTCAATTTGTTTTGCAAATAAATTTTTCGAATGCGCTTCTTAATATCAAAGCTGGAAATCACTTCAGCGGTTTCAAAGCGCGTTTTTAATATATGTATATATATATGATATAAACTAAAATCTTATCAACAACAAAATCATAGTGTGCTTGTGAGAGAAGATCGAAAGCCCTAAAAAATTATTCATTTTAAAATATAATAATATTAATAATAAAATGTGATCCATTTCGAAGTTTCCTACTTTTTTAAAGAAAAAGCACAAAAAATTCAGATTTAATGGAAAATGTTGATTATTATTCGAAAAAACATTTAGCACTAATTGTTGAAGATTATCTTTTCCAAATGTTGGCCGAGGCTACGTCTCAAATGGTCCATACGCGCGACAAATCCCCGCATGAAAAAGTCTAACGGTGTAATTTCACACGATTTTAGTAGTCAATCGATTAGACCAAAACGTGAAACTATCTGCTCGATGTGTGGAAAGTGATGCCATCTTGTTGAAACCAAATATCGTGGGTATCACGAGCATCAATTCCAGGCATCAAATAGTCGGTTATCATGGCGCGACAACGGTCGCCATTGACGATTACATTCTCACATTTCTCGGCATCATTTTTGAAGAAATATAGACCGATTATGATTCCGCCGGGCCGCAAACCACACCAAACTGTTGCTTTTTTCTTGATGAAATGACATTATTTGAACCCCTTCAGACTGCTCTTAGTCTCAAATGCTGCAAATTTTGCTTTTTTACATAGCCATTGAACCAGAAATGGGTCTTAGCACTAAATGAAATTCGGCTCGAAAACATCAGATCTTCTTGGAGTTTTTCAAGGGCAGATAGAGCGAAGCAATAACACTTGGGAAAGTAGAGAGGCTCAGTTCTTGCTTAAGCTGTATTCGGTACGCTTCCATTTTAAGATCTCGACGTCAACTTGGAGCATTGGAGTTCCTAACATCAGCCTGAGTTGCTGCGAACGGCCCCAAATCGGCTCTTCACTCTTAGCTGCGGCAGCTATATTTTCTGCACTGCGTGTTGGACGTGGTATATTCGGTCGAATATTATCCAATCATTATTGGATGCTGAGTCTCAAGATGGTTGATGGTGTTGCGAATAGTAAGCTCAGTGGTCCGATTGTGTTGGCCATAAGTTGAGCGAAGCACGCGAAAAACATTCTTTACAGGGCGTGAATTTTTGTAATAAGCTGATTCTAATAAGATTTTTCTTAGTTGTTTCTGTTGTTTCTTTTATTATACGAGTACCTTATAAGCTAATATGTTAAAATATATGAATAAAAATGGAATTATGAATACGATTTTTCCAAACAGATCTCTACACATTGACTTGGTGAATGACCTTCTATATAAGTTCCACATGTTAAGTAAAACCGTACCAACGTATCAGCAAGAGCAAGCATTCTCCTTTTTATCACAGGCAAAGAGTTATCTGTGTACCAAACTTGATGTTAATTAAATGATTTAAAAGTAAATTCGATTCGTTCGAAAAGGTCGTTGTCGGGTCCGTTCTCTGAAAAAGAGAGTGTTGGCAACACTAATTGGAAGGTTAAACTACTGCCCTTAAAGTTTCAAATTTCTACATCATCAGTGGTTTTCATTAATGATAAAGCCTTGTATACATGTATATAGATTAATTTGTAGTAACTGATAGCAGGGATCAGGGTTGCCACGTAATGGCAAAAAATACCATCTTGGTTTGTATATAAAAGAGTATTTTTTTTTTTTTTTTGGTTAATTTGTTATTAACTGTTAATTCTATCTAATACTATTAAATCAGGTGTACAACTTTGCTTCCGCCGTTTTTTCCAAAATTAAAAGCTTTATTGCGAAAAAGTGCTTACAGATATATTATTCAAAGTATTGTCCTTTACCAGCGACAACTTTCTCCAATCTTTCCGGCAATTTTCGGATCCTGGCTCAAAAAAAGGAGACCTCTTTTGACGCTATCCATGAAGCAATCCATTTTTCCAGTTCTTCGAAGGATTGAAAATGTTGATCTGCCAGGCCGTGTGCCATCGAACGGAATAGGTGGAAGTCAGAAGGGGCGACATCTGGGTAATACGACGGGTGGGACAAGACTTCCCATTTCAGCGTTTCCAGGTACTTTTTGACCACTTTTGCGACGTGAGGCCGAGCATTGTCGTGTTGGAGGACGACTAAGGCGCATCAGTAGCGTTCGGTAGCGATCTCCTGTGATGGTTTCACTCGGTTTTAAGAGCTCGTAGTAAATCAAACCGAGCTGATCCCACCAAATACAAATCATAACCTTGTTTATCTTCGACATCGAAATCACCATTTTTAAAACGTTGAAACCACTCCCGACACGTTCTTTCACTCAGAGCAGCATCACCGTAAGTTTCTAAGAGTATTCGATGCGCTTCAGCTGTATTTTATTTCGAATTGTAACAGAAAAGTAAAACTTTCCGCAAATTTCCGAGCGTGAATAATACGAAAACAAGAACAACTGTCACTGAAACGGCGATGACAATTCGTTAGGCAGTGTCCACACTCATATTAAAGGCATTTCAACCAGCCTCAGCCGGTGCAGCCACCTATCGGAAAACGGCGGAGGCAAAGTTGTACACCTGATATGTTTGAGGAGTTTTCGACTGCAAAAATTTCCGAAATTTCAAATAAATTTAGGTTAAACTCAAACGTAAGCTACATGCTCTCTCAGTAGAAATATAAAAAGAGAAAAAAATTTGCATATCAAAATCATTAAATAAATTAATTCCAACTGAAGTAGATATACTTAGCATAGCTTAATAGCCAGGACAGCCGGATATGGCCAATCAAATCACAAAATCCCACT